ACAGGAAGACGTGCTCCAGCTCTCCAGGTTTCAGAGGGCAGGTGGGGAGTGTGGCCCGTGGGTCAGCCGTGCCAGCCAGGCAGTGGTTTTTCTGAAAAGCAGTCTTTCCTAAGGAGCGGTCTGGAGAGTGAGCACCAGGGAAGCTCGACTCGGGGACAAACGGCCAGTCCTGTTCCCTCTGCCCAGGGCTCCGTGTTCTTGGAAATCATCATCTTCACTTGACAGCTGGCACGTTGGATTTCATTTTTCCTTCTCATGCCACGTGACTTGGCCCCGAGGAGGGATGCACTTGCCGCAGGAGGCCAGGGACTCTGTCGAAGGAGGGATGGAGGAATTACACGGCCTCCAAGGTTGATGGATTTAACGCACTTCCATTAATTTGGATTGTTTCTTCACAGTACTGCGCGTGGCCTCGTCTCCATGCTCAGAACTGCCAAGTCTCTACTGACCCCGACTCTTGAGGGAGACGTTGTGTTCCTTTTTGTGTCCATACAAGGGCCCTGTGACCTGGGGATCATCATCAGTCAGGGGGTCAGAAAACGGAGGCCCGGAAGGGGGACTGTGGCCTCACAGCTATTAAATGATCCCTTGTTTCAAAGGAAGCGGCTCTCCTTTGCACTGCGTTCTTTTGCGTTATTTTAGGAATCCGTGTTCAGCTGGAGAAAAGCTCCCAGTTAATGACAGTGGATATAAAAGAAAAGGAGTTCAAATTAGTAATGCCCTTCTCTCTGTGTGTTTCCAGTTTGTGCCAAGCAGGTGCCCGACGAAGCCTCTTGCACTCGGGATCCCAGCCTTCCTAACATGGCCGCGCCCAGCAAGCTGGTGTCTTCCTTCCAGCAACACACCAAGAAGGCTCTGAAGCAGGTGAGCCGGCGGCCTCGGGCCCCCATCCCGTGCTGCTGCCCACGGAAGGCCACGCGTCTTCTGTGGAGAAAGTAAAATAAATAAGAACATAGCAGCCAGCAGGCAATACACATCCCCGAATCCAACCCCTTCCATCGTGTTGAGTGCAGTCATTCAATCTCGGCCCAAAGCTGCGGGAGGCTTGTTTGAGCACTTTGATGTCAAAGAGAAGAGGGAAAATGTGCCTGGAAACATAAAAACTTGTATGAAGGCTTTTGTGGGTGTGATTCATAGTAAGCATGTTGGGTTCATCAATACATTGCATGTTTTGAAAATAGCATCTCTGTGTATTGTCTCATGTTTATCTGAAAATTGACATCAACAATAAACAGAGGCCGGCTGGGCGTGGCTCAGTGATTGAGCATCAACCTGTGAACCAGAAGGTCACGGTTCGATTTCCTGGTCAGGGCACATGCCCACATGGTGGGCTCCATCCCCAGTGGGGGCCATGCGGGAGGCAGCGGATCAATGATTCTCTCTTATCACTGATGTTTCTCTCTCTCCCTCTCCCTTCCTCTCTGAAATCAATGAAAATATATATTTAAAAAGCCACAGATAGTTTCCTTCTCATTACTGAGATGCATTAAGTTACAAATGAGGAAAACAGTAATTGTGGCTTGCTCGCATATAGAATATGTGTCTTCAGTGAGCATGGTTTGGTGCTGAATGGAGCTACCTTGGCATATTGTCCTGGTATCACATCAGCAGATTGACCTGTGTGTCCTTGTCCAGAGATAGTGGTGAGAGGTGATGGCTACAAGGTTGAACTCTGACCTCTGACATACCCTGGTTTCAATTTTTGCTACTCTCTGTGTGACTCTGGGCAAGCCGCTTGTATTCTCCGCCTCTCAAATTCTATTTCTAGAAAATGGGGATGATCTGAGGACTGAGGAGGTGGTACACTGGCAGCACGTGGTCAAGTGAGTGTCCGGCCACAGTAATCGCTCAGGGGGTGTCAGCCACAGCGGCCACACCGCCCTGCTCCACTGTGCAGGGAGGGGAAGGAAGGATGCTGTGGTTAGATGGGGACCCTGTGCGACGCTCATCCTAACGATGTGAATGAGCGGAAGGCTCACACGCTTAACCCTGAATTCCTGGTTTTCCCCTGGGTGACGACTTTACGCCGACATTTTTATTTGGATCCTTGAATGACGCCCTCTTCCACCTCACCTCTTGCTGACCCTTACCAAGTCTGGTGTCATTCTAGGGATACAGTATTTATGACAACAAAGGGACACCATGCTTGTAAATAAAGTTCAGCATTTCTTTAAAAGCTCCATCAATCATTTCTTTAAAAGTTCAGTCAATCTGTGGAGCTTCTTATATTCACATCCAATCTCCTAGGTTTAGACTGTCTCCACCTACTTTTCCTCTACTTCAAACAAAGCAACTTAATACTGTGGTACTGGATTATATTACCTTTTATTCTATATGGATTATTGAAATTTGAAGTATTTCCATTCGTTGGGATTATATCGAGGGTAGTAACATAGGTCAAATAACCTTGCCAGTTATATCCTTGCTCTTGGGAAACGGTTTAGACGCCAGAGAACAAAGTTGAATTTAATGTTGAGGTTCCTTGTGATGAGGCTGAAATAAAGGGTGGGTGATGGTAGGGAAACCTAGGAAGGGCTTATTCAGGTAATAAAATGCTGACCAGGACAGAGCAAAAGACACAAAACTGGGTGCTGGTAATCGTAGCATTTAAGAAACATAGATGTGATCGTAAATGAAACTCATGCTTCCGAGGAGCGGTGATTTAGAAAATGTGCACCCCACGAAGCCTTCCTGTGTGTGAATGGAGACACGAGAACTCACATCTCTGCATTGTCAGGTCTCATTGCCTTTCACTCCCTTCATTTCGGTTTCGTATCATCTGAACATTTTTTTACAATGACTCAAATATCGCACAGCTCTGAGTTAGTGGTTTCTTGTGTTATTTTATTACAGAGCACGTGTTCATGGGAAGTGGCACTTGCTTGCTCAGGCTCTAAGCCTTGTCTTAAGAAAATCTATTTTGAAAACTTCTGAATGTCCAGAAAGAGCTATTTATCCAGGTCTTAAAATGACCTATTGTATAACCAAGTAACAAATGAGTCACCAGGGAATACGGCCCGCTGTATAACAGCTATGCTAATGTTTGATTAATAATCAAATTCCTATCGGAAATACATTTAGAAGAAAAGCTGTTCTTGCAGAATGTTGCCCAGATTCCCTGTAATTGCTGAGTTTCTTCAGGCAACATTTCACAAGTTGACTGAACACGAGGCTTTGTAAATTGTAGCAGCTCAGCGTGTACGCAGCTCACCTTTCTTTTGGAGAGTTGACTGGCCCTAGAGAAGTGGTGTAAGTGTATATGTTATATGTCCCTAGATATCCAATATTTGTGTTCTGTGTTTGCGATTGTATGTTTTGTGTATATATTTACATGCACAAGTCATCATTTCATGAATGTAGAGCCAGCTGAACGACCCTCATAATCGCATCAGCCAGCATTTACTTTTCTGAATCCTAGACACTGTGCTTTGCATTTCACATGCACTGTGCCGTTCAATCCTCATGCAAGTCCTTAAAAGCAGGGACCGGCATCCCCATTTTTCAAATGAGGAAACTAAGGTCCAGAGACGTTAGGTAACTTGCCTAAGATCGTCCAGTGAGTAAATTTTGGTGATGACATTTCAGCCCAGAATCATCGTTTCAGATACTGCCCCCTTAATGCATACTGCCTTTTGGCATCCATCTATCTATCTATCTATCTATCTATCTATCTATCTATCTATCTATATGTATATATATATAAAATAGAGAAATATGCTAATTAACTGGGACGCCTTAATGGGTCAACCGGACAGGAGGAGGTTTCTTGCTCAGAGTCGGGGGCAGAGCAGCAGGGGCCTCCGCATGCCTGCGCTGGGAGGGCCTGATCAGCAGCGGCCTTGGCTGATTCAAGGTCCAGAGAGGGAGGCAGGGCCAGACTGCCAGCGGCGCTGTAATGGGTCAACCGGACAGGAGGAGGTTCCTTGCGCAGAGTTGGGGGCAGAGCAGCAGGGGCCTCCACATGCCTGCGCTGCGGGAGGGCCTGATCAGCAGCGTCCAGAGAGGGCCAGAGAGGGAGGCAGGGCCAGACTGCCAGCGGCCATGGCTGCTGCGGGGCCTGGGGAGTGAGGCAGGGCCAGACCAGAGGGTGGGTGGCGCTGCGTGATTTCGCTTTCGAATCACGTGCTGGGCTCCTAGTATGGTATATACTAAAATAGAATAATTTTTTACAGTATTCAAGAAAATTGACATTCTTGAATATTTGTGAGTGAAAGGAAAGGAAAATGGTATAGTCATTAAGAATATTATTTCTGGCCCAGCCGGTGTACCTCAGAGGTTGAGCGTTGACCCAGGAACCAGGAGGTCATCAGTTTGATTCCAGGTCACGGCACATGCCCGGGTTGCAGGCTCGATCCCCAGTGGGGGCTTGCAGGAGACAGCTGATGGATGATGTTCCTTCCTCATCAATGTTTCTATCTCTCTATCCTTCTCCCTTCCTCTCTCTCTCTACAAATTAATAAAGGCATATTAAAAAAGTAATAGTATTTTCAAATACAGACTGCTTATGTTTAGTATCAGCATATATTAGTGGTAGGCACTCAAATATATTAGCTCTTATCATTTTACTAGAACTATATTCTGAGACAGTAGGACTTTGGTAGTTCAAGTCTACTTTGGCCAGTGCAGACTTTTAGAAGTAGGTGGGAAAAACACCACCACCAAAATCCAGTAGCTTTATATTCATAAATGTAAGTGAATCATAATAATGTAATGCAAATATCCCCACAAAATAAGCCAGATAGAGTTCCTAGTCCTGAGCCCAAGCTGCCACCCCAGTCTGAAGCTTGTAGCTGTGGAGGGTGGGTTTTTACTGGGCAGTACTGTGGACGGCGGGTTTTTATTGGGCAGTACTGTGGACGGCCGTGTATCTATAGGCTGGTACTTACAGAGCCATATACCCCTTGGCTACTGACATCAATCATTCTCCCTGTTCCTAAATACTTGGGACCCTTCTGCTTCCTCATCATGGAAATGTTCGTTAGCATCGCATGTTGGGTGTAATCGCATGAATAATGAAGAAAGGGTAATGAAGAAAGATTAAGCTTTGGAAGTTTATAAACAGAATCAAAGGAAAGCTTGAAGGAGGATGAGGTCTGCTATGGGCGGTAACCTGGTGGCTCCCCCAGGTTTGGCTTCCGGCATTATTTATTCAGGGTCTAGGATTTATTCATAAAGTTGCACATTCGGTTTCCCTCTTCACACCCCAAAGCAGATATATTCTTGGCATTTTGCTTTAGCTTTCTGTATTTGACCAATACTGCGAAATTCCAAAGGCTATGTTGCCTGATGGCAGTTTCTGACGTTTAGCACACTAGCAACAATGCAGGTTGTTGGTGCCTGACACAGCCGGCTGTTTGTGTGTATGTGTGTGTGTGTCTGCAGTGATTTTCAGGGAAGGGCTTATTACATTCAGAGCATTCTTAAGTTACATTGTCGGTGTTGTTTTTCAACTAAAATAAAGCAGGCGTTACTTGTTTATGCAAATCCAAGCTAATACAAGAGCCTCTGGCTTTAGGTTTTATTTTTCATTCGAGGGGAAATGAGAACTGTGTCATGTTTGCATAGTTATCTGACAGGCTTTCTGTTTACCAATTTAAATGTTTATCTAAAGCAAGCATGTCAAACTCACGGCCCACGGGCCATATGCCTCATTTATTTGGCTTGTGTTAGCCTTTGAGTTTGACATGCTTGATCTAAAGGGTTTCATGTCTCTTTTTTCAATTGAACTTCTTGGAGGTGACATTGATTAATAAAACTATGCGGGTTCAGGTATACAGTTCTGCATCATCTGTATTGTCTCTTGTTATAAGAGAACATTGGGGTGCGCCTCTAGAGAAAAGCATGCGGAGTCAGCACCTTCTGGT